GGTGGCAACCATAGGGGTGGGGGCAAAAAAACAACAGAGAAGGGGCAGATGCCTAGAGAGATTATGAAGGCAGGTGATGTTTGTAGGGCAGGTGTGATCAAAGTTGTGTATATGTCCTTTCACTAACAAAACTTTCTCGTGTCCCTGCAGTCTCACTGATGACACAAATAAGCAATTCCACATAAATCTAGAGAGGCCTGTTGAGATAAGGTAACTAAGACCAAGAAAGAAAAATTCTGTGCCCTCCTTGCTCTTCCCCTAGTAGTGAGAAGCGATTAAAGCAATAGGGTTCATTCAGTTCCCTCATTGCTTTCCTCCCCACAGGGTTTTCCTGACCACCAGAAATGACAAAGGCCTTCAAGGAGAGTGAGTTCAACCCAGGCAACGTGCTTGGAGAACTCAGGGCAATTTCCCTGTAGGGTCCGTGTTGCTATTTGTGACCTCCTAAGCTGTTTGCTTTCTTCCTATGTGCATACACAAAATTCTACCCTTGTGGCAAATGAAAAAGCTGGGGTAACCATTTGGTAGCTTTCCCCCAGAAATGCAGTGCTTCTCCTTGGCATGAGCCTTTAATTTTTATTCAAAGAAGCAAATGGTGCAGAGTATCTGCCTTAAGATATATGTGAAGCCAAACACCAATGGTCCTGGGAAAACCAGATCCTAAAGATCTGCTCAGAAACTCAACTCTAAGCCTCTTATCAAGTTTTGATTCCTCACAGCAACATGAAGGACTGTGATGGTTAATACTGAGTGTCAACCTGATTGGATTAAAGGATGCAAAGTATTATTCCTGGGTGTGTCAGTAAGGGTGTTGTCAAAGGAGATTAACATTTGAGTCCATGGGCTGGGAGAGGCAGACCCACTCTCAGTCCGGGTAGGCACCATCTAATCAGCTGCCAGCACAGCCAGAATAAAAGCAGGCAGAAGAACATGGAAAGACTAGACTGGCTAAGTTTTCTGGGCTCCATCATTGCCCCCATGCTGGATGCTTCCTGCCCTTGAACATTAGACTCTGGCTTCTTCAGCTTTTGGATTCTTGGACTTACAGCACTGATTTGCCAGGGGCCCTTGGGCTTGGCTACAGACTGAAGGCTGTACTATCGGTTTCCCTGCTTTTTCTTCTTTTTACTTCTTTTTTCTTTGCTTTGCTTTTAAAAAAAAAAAAAAAAAAAAAACCATCCTGTTGTCCTGGCTGGAGTGCAGTGACACAATCTCGGCTCACTGCAACCTCTGCCTCCCAGGTTCAAGCGATTCTCCTGCCTCAGCCTCCAGAGTAGCTGGGATTACAGGCATGCACCACCACACCTGGCTAATTTTTGTATTTTTAGCAGAGACAGGGTTTCACCATGTCAGCCATTCTGGTCTCAAACTCCTATCTCAGGTGATCTGCCTGCCTCGGCCTCCCAAAGTGCTGGAATTACAGATGTGAACCACTGCACCTGGCTGGCTTTCCTACTTTTCAGGTTTTGGGACTCGGACTGGCTTCCTTGTTCCTCAGCTTGCAGACTGTCTATTGTGATCATGTGAGTCAACTCTCCTAATAAACTCCCCTTCATTTATCCTATTAGTTCTATCCCTCTAAAACACCCTAATACAATGACCCTGTCCTGTTTGCTCTTCAAAGTCACTTCCCACCTCTGCCCAATGTGATATGTGATAAAGCCCCTCCCTCTATCATTCCTGCCTCTGTAACCTTGCACAGGCCTTTCCTTCTGCTTGGACTTTGCCTGTAATCTGCCTGCACCTCTCCCATTCCTACCTTACTTCCAGAGCCTTCCTCCTTGCTGAGGAGGACACACGTTAAAACCAAATTGTGCACTATTTTGTGGTAATTACTCATATGGCAGCATTTTTTTCCCACCTTCTCAGTGGGATTGTGAACTTCATGGGAGCAGGGAACATTTCTTGTGCATGTCTAAAAGCACTCAATATCTACTTACTGCATTAAACTTAAATTTTAAATTTGCAACAAATGTATCACACTAATGGAAGAGATTAATAGTAGAGGGAACTGTTGAGGGGCACATAGGGATTCTCCATACTGTTGGCTCGATTTTCTAGAAACTAAAAAATAAAGTCTATTAATTTTTTAAACATTTAATTTCATATTTTTTCCAAACCCTGAGTATTTTCTCTTTCAAGAGACATAAGAAATCAATGAAAGAAAAAGGCAAAGAGGGGATTTAAAAGGTAGACTGATATACAAAAGTCAGTTGCGGCCAGGCATGGTGGCTCATGCCCGTAATACCAGAATTTTGGGAGGCCAGAGTGGGCAGATCACTTGAGCCCAGGAGTTTGAGACCAGCCTGGGCAACATGGCGAAAATCTTGTCTCTACAAAAAATACAAAAATTAGCCAGTATCATAACCTAGTCTCAAAATAAATAAATACGTACATTAAAATTTAAAATAAAATAAAATGTTAAGTCAGTAGCTTTCCTATATACCAGCAGTTAACAATGGGAATTTAATTTAAAACACAATACATTTTACATTAGCATCCAAAAAGAGAGACAGAGTTATGTATAAATCTAACAAAATATATTCAAAATGTATATAAGGAAAACAATAAAATTCTGATAAAATAAATCAAAGAAAATCTAAATAAATGGAGAGATATTTCATGTTTGTGGACTGGAAGACTCAATAATGTTAAAATGACAGTTCTTCTCAGCCTGATCTGTAGATTCAGTGCAATCCCAATCAAAACTCCAACAAATTATTTTGTACATGTTGACAAACTGATTCTGAAGTTTCTGTGGAAAGGCAAAAGACCCAAAATAACACAATCTTAAAGAACAAAGTCAGAGGACCGACACTACAGGCTTAAAGATATACTGCAAAGCTACAGCCATCAAGACTGTGGAACTGGCAGAAGAATACACAAATAAATCAATAGAATCTAATAGAGGCTCAGAAATACACTCACTCAAATATAGCCCACTGATAATTAACACAGGAGCAAAGACAATTCAATAGAAAAAAAAGTGACCTTGGGTTTGCTTATGACTTTTTAGATACAACACCAAAGGCATAATTCATGAAAGAAGAAATTGACTAGTCAAATTTCATTATATTTTTTCAATTCTGCTCTGTGAAAAGTCCTGTTAAGACAATGAAAAGACAAGCCACAGACTAGGAGATAATCTTTGCGAAACACATATCTGGTAAAGGCTGTTATCCAAAATATACAAGGAAGTCTTAAAATTTAACAAAAAGAAAATTCAATTTTTTAAATGGGCAAAAGATCTGAACAGACACCTGTAGAGGACTACGTGCTCGCAAACGAGGCGTTCCCGATAAGTCCTGCTCTTGCAAACGAAGCAGGGCGTTCCTTCCCTGCAAACAGGGAGGACAAAGGAGCCAGCTGCAAACAGCAGACCCTGGGGGCTTATTTATGTGTAAACATCTTGAAAATCCAGAAAGTCAGGGAAAGGTCAGAAAAACAACAATGTGTCTTGTGACTTGGCAACATTCCACAAACGACTGTATAAAATAAAGCAGAGCGCACCATTCGGGGCAGCCGCCATGTTTGTCTTGTGTTGTGTTGTCTTGTGTGTTCATTCCTTTGTTTAGGAAACATGCGGACCCCAACAGACACCTCACAAAAGAAGATATACAGATAGCAAACAAGTATGTGAAAAGATGCTAACATCATATGTCATTAGGGAATTGCAGATTAAAACAACCATGAGATACCACTACAAACCTATTAGAATAGCTAAAATCCTAAACACCAACACCACCAAATGCTGGTGAGGATGTGGAGCAACAGGAACTCTCATTCATTGCTGGTGGGAATGCAAAATGATAAGGCTACTTTGAAACATCACTTGGCAGCTCTTACAAAGCTAAGCATAGTCTTACCATATGATCTAACAATCATGCTCCCAGGCATTTACCAAAGGGATATGAAAACTTATGTCCACACGAGAACCTATACATGAATGTTAGTAGCAGCTTTATTCATAATTGCCAAAATTGGAAACAACCAAGACATTCTTCAACAGGCAAATGAACAAACCATAGTACCTCTATACAAGGGAATATTATTCAGCGATAAAAAGTAATGAGCTATCAGGCCATGAACAAACGGAGGAAACTTAAGTGCATACTGTTAAGTGAAGAAGCCAGTCTGAAAAAGCTGTGTGAAACTATGGAGACCGTAAAATGATCAGTGGTTGTCAGAGCTGGGAAGGAGGGCAGGAAGGATGACCAGATGGAGCACAAGAGACTTTTAAGGGCAGTGAAACTCTTCTGTATGATACTGTAAGGGTGGGCATATGACATCATGCATTTGTCAAAACCCATCAAATATAAAACACAAAGGTGAATCCTAACGTAAACCACGGGCTTTAATTCATAATAATGTAGCAACATGTATTCATTGATTGTAAGAAGGAAAAAAGTCAATTGTGAAGCATTTTTAATACTCCGTTTAGGTTTGGAGTGCTGAACTTTCTGATCATTCTATTACGTACAAAAGGTTGCATTCCTGTAAAATATGTCAAAATTGCCTCTCAGTATATATCCAGTTACTGAAATCCATACTCATCTGTCTCATACACTGTGTTCAGGATACTCACCTCTGCCTTAGCAGAAATGAGTTTCCTCAGAGGGCTGGGTGGACAGGAGAGTGGTTGTTTAGTGAGACTTACCCAAACCATGTGACTGTCTTCTCAGTGTCACGTAGAAAAAGAATTTTCAGTCCCTCATGGGTCTTTCTCAGCAAGAGTATAGACTGTTCAGTGTGTTGGTTGGGAGTGCATGAAAATAGGTGTTTTCATGCTGCACTCCCTGAGGCCCCTATGCAGATCCGATTACAGAAAGCCTGGTGGTGGTGGCAGGCTTCAGCAGGCCTCCCTTAGAGTCCTCCTTTGAGAGCACCAGCCAGCGTCCCCACAGGCAGCACATACACAATAATGGCATTGTGGAGGTGCTATGGAGACCAGATTTAAAGGGCCGGGTGCTATTAATTATGACTCTTCACCTACCTCATAGGTTGCCAGCAGCAATAGCAGAGGAAGAAGAAACATTAATGGGGCCTGGACTTCCACTTCACAGCAAAGTAGCCCAGGAAGTTTGAGGAGACTCTCTCAAAGTCACTGTCAAGTCATTAAGGACCTGGGTCACCCTGCATCCCCATCTGGGGCTCCTTCTATATCAGTTTTCCTGAAGCTTAGTCCAACTTCTTGAAGTGGGCCAAGAAAAGGCTGTTTCCAGAATCGGATATTGCATCTCTAAAACACAAGCTTCACTGATGTCGTGGAGTCTATGAGACACAAACTTTATGTCGTGTCATGGAATCCGGGATGGTAAGTACAGAGGGAGGGAGCAAGCAGCCCATCAAAGGTCACAAAGCACCTTTGGGTGCCGGGAGTGGTCACTACCGGAGGCTCAGCTTAGGAGGGCAAAACACTTCCCATCTTTGCTCAAATTGCCACATCACCCAGGACGAGGCTGCACGGGTTTCTCTGACTCATGAGGGACCTGTGGCTCCACTGCGTTTTGAAATCGTGCTCTCTAACATGCTCTAAGGAGCAGAGGAGGGCAGTACAAATCACTGGTCTTTGTTGATTTTCTCTTCTGCAAACAGATCAGCCATCGCTTCACACCCAAGGAAAGAACTGCTGTCCAATGCCAGGCCCAGAGCTGCTTGGTTTGTGGCAAGTCTTTGGAAAGATAATTCATTCATTTTAGCTGAAAATACCCCGTGTTTTTCTGGTCTCCCTACTGAAAAAATGAGTATGATACACAAAACATGGTGCATGGCTCTAGCTCTTAATAAATTCCAAGCCTTTTTGACCAAACCATTACTGTGTAATTTCTAGGAGAAAGCTGCTCCGCTAAAAAAAGAAAAAAAAGAAAAAAAAAAAGAAAATTCCAGTTATCAGGATCATATATTTGTTTTTTGTTTTTTTTTTTTTTTTTTTTTTTTTTTTTTTTGAGACGGAGCCTTGCTCTGTCACCCAGGTTGGAGTACAGTGGCACGATCTCAGCTCACTGCAACCTCCACCTCCCTGGTTCAAGCGATTCTCCTGCCTCCGCCTCCTGAGTAGCTGGGACTATAAGCGTGAACCACCATCCCTGGCTAATTTTTTTGTATTTTTAGTAGAGATGGGGTTTCACCATGTTGGCCAGGCTGGTCTCGAACTCCTGACAGGGTCATATATCTGTTTAAAAATAAAAAGTATTGTGTTAATGGCATAAAGAACATTTAAGAAATTGAGGAGGTACCACTCTGTGGAGCACATCGAGGCGAGGGGAACCTTGGAGCCTCTGGGACTTTCTTCAAACAGGAAGCCATTGGCTAGGAGCTGGGGAGATCGCAGTCTATATTGAAATACCACTGCTGACAGAATAGAAGTTGCCTATGATGGGTGACTTCTCCCTGCCCTCTTTCAATATGAACGTGAATTCTCAGCCATTGTCTTCCTAATAGAAATCCTTAACCTAGAAGTGTTCACTCCTGGTTTCAAAAGGAATAGCCAACCCCTTAGAACCCAGAATTTTCTATAGGCTCTCATTCTTTTTTCACATCTATAGCAATAATTACTATCTATACTGAAGATCCTAAAGAGCTGAAAGATCTCAAAATACAACCAGAATCACGCACAAAAGACTCTGGAACCTGTACTACAGTAAGCAAGCATGTCACCTGAGAAATCATTAGTCTTGCTCACTCACAGCTCTTGACTCAGCTTTGTGAAGAAAACATGTTGTTTGGAGCACACATGTTCACATGGCCCACTCCCTATGTTCATGCAGACAGCATAGAGCTTTCCTATATAGCATATAACCATCTCTAAAGCATCAGCCAAGAACACTATAGGAGACGCAGCAGTTAATTAGTAAAGTGTTTAATAAAAGTATGATTTAAGGGTGTGGGCAAAGTTTAGGGAAACCCTCAGAAAAAGGGCAGTACTTTGGGGCGGTATTAAAAGTATGTTACTACCCTAGCCTGAAAGCAAGGAGAGAGAGAGTGATTTTTGGAGCCCAGAGAGGGTGACTGTATGGAATGGGGTTGCCTGATAGGTGCTGTGGTCCTCCGGAGAGGGCTGCAGCCAGCCTGTGGGGACTGGCAGGGAGGACAGAGGAATCGGTATCCTGACTTGTTACAGTAGGTAGCTGGTCAGGCATGAGCAGAGCAGGAGAGGCTCCACCTGACCAAGAATGTCAGGCAACCATCAGGTGATGGTCAGGCGGTTGTTATCTATCTAAAATAATAATTAGTCGCAGTCAGCGCCAGGGAAAGGAAGCCTCCCTACAGATAGAAAAAACCTGAAACTGGTGATCATCCGCTTCCTGATAAGATCTCAGGAGACGGGCGAGTGAGCTCCAGCATGCACAATAAGAGGCAAAAGGCAGCGCTTAACTGATATAAGACTTTCCAGGCACATCCCGCAGGTAGAGGGAAGAATGCCGCGAGTGAGCATGAGTACAACTCCGGTAAACACTGCACATGCCCGCCTCCCAAGTGCTAGCAGGACACCATGCAGAGTGGCAGCTCACCCCAAAGGAAGAGTCGAGGGAAAAGGGACACAAGATGCAGGAAGTATGCCAACATATAAAACCCTTAGTCCAAGGTCAAAGGAGACACTGTCCTCCAAGACACCCGCTTGGCCCTCCTCCAGGAATACTTTCTTTTCTTTCCTGCTCTAAAGCTTTTGTTGTTGTTGTTGTTGTTGTTGTTTGAGAAGGAGTCTCACTCTGTCACCCAAGCTGGAGTGCAGTGGCGTGATCTCAGCTCACTGCAGCCTCCGCCTCCCAGGTTTAAGTGATTCTCCTGCCTCAGCCTCCCGAGTAGCTGGGATTAGGCACTCACTACCACGCCCGGCTAATTTTTTGTAGTTTTAGTAGAGACGGAGTTTCACCATGTTAGCTAGGATGGTCTCAATCTCCTGACCTTGTGATCCTCCCATCTCGACCTCCCAAAGTGCTGGGATTACAGGTGTGAGCCACCATGCCCAGCTCACTCTAAAGCTTTTTAATAAACCTTCACTCTGCCCGAAAACTTGCCTTGGTGTCTTTTTCTACCTTTTGCCCCTAAGTCGAATTCTTTTATCTGAGGAGGCAAGAACTAAGGTTGCTGCAGACCCGTACAGGTTCACCACTGGTAACTTGGATACCTTCTACCGTCAACAGACTCACTCTCTCCCTTCCTCTGATTTGCCAATGCCTCTCAAGAGCAGGAGCCCCAGCGATGCCATGAACAGGGATATGCCTCCCAGAAGAAGTGTGGGGAGGTGTGGACAGTGGTCTGCAGGGGCAGGCAGAAGATATCCAGCACCTCCTACAGTTTCTTACTTTCCCTCTTTTGGTCATAGGTTTATAACCTGGCCTGGGCCTCCTCAGAACTCTGAAAAATGTACCTTTTCCACCTCAAAAGGCTTGGTTCTGCTTTCTGACAGCAGGAGTGAAGAGAAATGTGAATGGGTTTCATCATGATTTCTGATGATAAGACATTGTGTTGACCTTTGAGGTACAGCCACAGATCAGGTAATAACTTAGAAGAACAGCACATAATAATCCCTTGGTCTATTCTTGAGATTTGACTGACACCAGGCCGCCTGTAATTATTGGAGCCAGTACAAATTTCACAGTCACTGACTTGAGTGTGCAAAAATATAATTTTCTCTATTCTTTTATAATTGAGTGTAATTTCTGCCTTGAGCCTCCATTCTGCCTCAGAGAAAATTTAATCTAGTCACTTTCAGATAAACTCATTCAAATTCAGTCATTTCTTAGTCAATTCCAGGTTATAATGCAGTCACAATTCAGTTTAAAACTCTCTTTCTCTCCCTTTTTTTCCCCCTCTCTCCCTCTACTCTGGAATTGAATTTAAGCTCTCAATGGCTTATCCAAAAGTCCACACTCCTTGGTCTTAATGTGTCCTGTATGCCTCTGGGCATCACAGAGGTTAGGCGCTCTCTTGAAAGAGGACTGGGTGGTCCACGGAACACAAAGAGGGGCTCCCATTTCTTCTCTCCATTGAGAGTGCAGCTCAGTCCCGACCCAGTTCTCATCTTATCCTGGGTTCCCAGTGGCTCGCTCTCTCTGCTAAATCGCATTCCCCAAGGAAGGCTTTGGGACATTGTGGGTGCCCTCCTGTGCCACTCAGACCTATGGGCAACAGTCTCTAGTCCTCTTGTGTCTGAACACCAGTCCTCCTTTGCTATATCAAGATGATATGAGGCCGGACATGGTGGCTCATGCCTGTAATTCCAGCACTTTGGGAGACCATGGAGGATGGATCACTTGAGGTCAGGAGTTTGAGACCAGCCTGGCCAATATGGTGAAACCTCGTCTCTACTAAAAATACAAAAAAAATTAGCCTGGCGTGATGACAGGCACCTGTAATCCCAGCCACTCAGGAGGCTGAGGCTGGAGAATTGCTTGAACCTGGGAGGCGGAGGTTGCAATGAGCCTAGATCACACCACTGCACTCCAGCCTGAGTGACAGAGTGAGACTCTGTCAAAGAAAGAGAGAAAGAGAGAGAGAGAGAAATAAAGAGAGACAGAGAGAGAGAGAAGAAGGAAGAAAGGAAGAATGCCCTCAGAAGAAATCAACCCTACTGACAGCTTGGACTTCCAGCTTCCAGAACTGGAAAGAAATAAATTTCTGTTGCATACACTACCCAGTTTGTAGTACTTTGTTATGGCATCCCTAGTAAACTAACACAGATTGTGAGAAAATTAGTCTTTTTACTTAACAATCACACCTTTTGTTTTGTTTTTGAGACAGGGTCTCACTATGTCATCAAGGCTGAAGTACAGTGGTATAATCATGACTCACTGCAGCCTCAACCTCCCAGCCTCACGTGATCATCCCACCTCAGCCTTTTAAGTAGCTGGGACTCCAGGTGTACACCACCACATTCAGCTAACTTTTTAAATTTTTGTAGAGATGGGGTCTTGCCGTGTTGCCCAGGCTGGTCTTGAACTCCTGGGCTCAGGTGATCCTCCCACCTCAGCCTCCCAAAAGGCTGGCAGCGATTACACACTTGACCCTCTGCTCTCAGCCCATTTTGAGATTCTTTGAAACATTAAAACCAGCTCCAGAAATCCTTAAGAGAGGCCATAATTTACAGTTACCCATCTTGAAATGTGTCCACTGTTTCCTGGTTCAGAGATAAAACTCAATCTAGTCAAGTCATGTTCTCTCATATCATGGGTACTCAACTTTAGAAAATAATAACTTTCTGAAGATAAATTTATCAGGGTATTTACTTCTGAGCTCTCTATTCTGTTCCATTAGTCTATGTGTGTGTTTTTATGCCAGGACCTTACTTTAGCTTTACAGTACATTTTGAAATCAGATAGTGTGTGATACCTCCAGCTTTGTTCCTTTTACTCAATTGCCTCAGGTATTCAGGGCTTTTTGTGGATCCATATGAATTTTAGGATTGTTTTTTCTATTTCTGTGAAGAATGACATTAGAATTTTGATAGATATTGCATTGAATCTGTAGATGACTTTGGGTAGTATGAACATTTTAATAATATTAATTGTTCTAATCCATGAACACAGAATATCTTTCATTTCTGTCTTCAATTTCTTTCATCAACGTTTTATAGTTTTCAGTGTACAGATCTTTCATCTCCTTGGTTAAATTTATTCCAAAGTATTTTACTTTTTTTGAAGCCATTGTAAGTAGAATTGTTTTATTTCTTTTTCTGATAGTTCATTGTTAGTATATAGAAATCCTATTACTTTTTCTATGTTGATTTTGTATCCTGCAACTTGACTGAATTTATTGATTAACATCAATTGATTCTCTGCAGAAGTGCTAAGAACACACATGTGGAGA